CTTATATAACTTATATTATGGTTCATCCCCAAAGGAGCCCGTCGTTTTGTCTTCCACGCCGCCGGGGCTTCCCGTGGCCAGTTGCACGTGCTGTGGCCACGTGCATGGTGTACCCTTATGCCGCGGCCTTGGAATGGACTCGAATGGACGACCGCACACGAGGCCGCTTCTTCAAGGCCGGTTCCGGCCAAGGATGGCCAAGCTGTGTGCCTTCTAACGAATTCATGGGCCAAGTAGTTTGGGCAAGGTGCTAAGAACTCTCTTTGCTAGTCGTTTTGATTTGGCTCAAGTTGGCCTCGGGCCTGATTGGCTTGCAAAAGGGCAAACACGTGTAGCACCTGCTTCTTTTAGATGGTCATGCTTCGACCCCTACTCAAGCGACAATTTCTCCATACAACACGGTCTAAATCCATCAAGGATTCCCAAGAAAGGAGCTGTCTACCAGCACCCTCCAACATGTCACCACCCGCCACTTTTAAGTCTCCAAAAGCCACCAGAGGAGACCTGTTGGAGGGTGCTGTCTATTAGTTTTTAGGTCTCATGCAGCTACAGGTTTCCATAACGAATCCAAAGCACCCAGGTGAGAGGAAAGGCCTTGTCACAGGCGACGGAACGGGAATCGGGCAGGTTTTTCGCATGGCCCTCCGTGAAGACCACACTCGGGACGTATAGGATTTTTAGTTTTTTTTTGCGTTGTTTTTACTGGTATATGTCGTGTTTTACTCTTTTTTAAACGTTGAGGTTACCAAACATCAGCAGTTCAGTCGTTCTCCCAGAATTCATAAATTGTCGCGGCGATGCACATTCAGATATAGTTAATTACAATTAACTATACATATTATATAACAAATAAATATCAGAACTCCTGTATTGAGGGGCTGAACCCTCGGACCTCGCGTCTTGTAACCTGCACCTCTCTTGTAAAGGACGAAGTAACCGATCGGGTTTTTGGGGGTGTCACCCATGCTGAGGAATGATGAGACACAACATTTGCTCTACTCCACATGCATGAAGTTGGGTTTGCTGCGGCAAGGGTTGGTACTGTACAAGAATAGAAAGTTCCGAACACACTTGTGTGGCATTCAAAGGTCATTTGTGGACCAAGGAAGTTCGTAGGTCGAGATAAACCAGGGCCTATACATAGTATAATATATAAATACATTTTGCCTGGCACTTGCGGCAAACCAGGCAAAGCTGGCCCCCAATGCCACTGCAGCCTTGCGCAAGGCAGTGGCACATAGATCGAATGAGGGATTGATGCTGATGGATGTTCATGCAGGCTTTCAGGGTGGGTAGAGCATCTCGACGGAACCCCGTGGATGCACTTGCTGGAAGGTAACCAATATAACCATGAGCTTCCGCATCCCTGTTTCCACAACAGCAGATCGATTGGTCCAAGACACAGACCCTGTTGGCATGCGGTTCCTGAGAGGACGCTCATGATCACTCAAGCCACATTGGAGTTCTGGTATGTTCTCACTTATAGAACCAATCGCTTCCAACCTCGCTTCTGACCGGTTCGGAATCGTTCGCCTCCCCGATTCGTTCGCTTCAGACCCTCCGTGCCAACCCATCGACCGACGGTTTCGGACGGAGCAGCGGCCGCTCCGTTCGGGTCGGGGACGGACCCGACGCGGAGGTCTTCGCGGAAGAAGGCGTTGCAGCACTCTACCGTGGTCTCAGCATGGACGGGGGTTGGCTGATTGGCGGATGTGCGCGGGATGTGCGCGAAAGTCAGAGATCCCCTGAGGATGGATTCACAACATTAGTGGTCAACTAGATGGATAATGATGGAAATAGGCGATGATTGGTTTTAGTGCTGTATGATTTCCGAGGAGTTGGTTGTTTGCTCCAGTCAGATCAACGAGTTACATGATGCAGATCAAGACATGTCTCTCAGCCCTTTAGCTCCATGAGGTCAAAATGATGAAGAGTGACTGAGACTCGTCACTGAAGTTGTTTCCCCAACAGATGACTCTTGTCCTTGAGGAGATCATGCGAGGCATGACGCAGTCCGCGGTCATGTTTGCCGTCGGGGGCCTCAAAAGGTGCAACACAGGTTGATACAGGTCACAACTGGGCCGCCCCAAAAACAGCATGTGGATTTCACAGCACGGCCCCAATAGAAGCTTCCATGCCCTTTTGTAGGTCCCAGGGTTCCCAATTCATGACTTGCAGTACTAGTACTTGGTGAGCATTCCGAAAAAAGGAAGAAAAACACATGGATGATCCTCTAAGAGTCATCTGGAACCACGGGTTCCTCGGAGTGTTTGTAGCAGCGACTTTGCAAGCCATTCTCCACGAACACTGACCTCATGAGCCAAGATCTCAATTTTCCCAGACGCTCCAAACAGCCCTTGGTCTCTCAAAACTGAGGGAATTTGATGTTCCAGACCCCTCCATATGAGGGTCCATGAGCGTCTGGGTTATTCAATTATTTTTAAACGGCCGAAGCGGCCAGATCCGCAGCCCAAAGGAGAAACGACACCACATACGACACCACCATTCTCGAATCAATCAAAAAAAGAAGTAGGTTAATTTTGGTTTCAATGACTTTCTGTCCTTTCCTATCCAGCAGTGGGTTCAAACTAGCCACCCAAAATAGACACAGGTGAAGATGCTTTGGTGGACTTTTTCTTTTGTGGTGTCACAACCAGTCGCCAATGAGGTCATGGAGCGGATCCGCTTGTCGGTGCGCGCAAAGCTTCTGCAACTCGTTGTAATGGTGAACGTCTATTGGCAGAAATACTGAAATTGATGACAAGTTGCGCATGTCTGCTGCTACAGGGATCACATTGGCTGGTTTGCACCAATGTTGACAGACACACCCATGGGAGTCAGAAATCAGATGACTGACCTTGCCACGACAAGAAAAAGCACAACAATATAGAGAGACTTTGCCAAATTGTATTCTCAGGAAGAACACTGCATAGAGGACCACAACAGTCCCCCGCATGTGGTCTGGACACGTTCAGAACGGTGTCTTCCTTTCCGCTGCCAATGACATTGGTTCCTATATACTGGTGTACATGTCTGGACACATTGACCAAAGACAGGTGTGAGTTCGGAAATCCACCGTGGACCGGTTTCTTCAGTTCCGAGGCGCACGAACAATTGATGGTGGCTGTTGAGATCGTGGCTTTGGCACCGGGCGGAGACGGAGGTGCCCGAGTGTCCGAGTGTCACGAATGTTTTTTTGCATGTTTTGTTTGGCCTTTTAAAACACTTTTGCAAATTAACATCTTGGGGGCAGTTGGCCCAATTTGCTTTCATTTTAGCCAAAAGGGCAGGGGAGGTCTTCAAGAGAACCGCCCAACAGTACAGATGCGCTTGGAGAAGAGCGGAGAAGCGTTGCCAAAATGCATCCGGACAGGACCCTGTTGACGGAAGAATTCCAAGGTAGTGGGAATTCCCATGGGATTCCTATGTGTTTACTCGTTTACTCTATTGGCGAGCTCCCAGAGTTGTGTTACGCATGATGCAGGATGGGGTGTCCAATACAGTCCATCAAAAAGACACACGCCGGATGGACGACAATATGTTTGTTCGGGTCAAGATACGTACCATGCTGATGTCCGGCCAGATGTTTGCAAGATGTGTTCTTGCTGATTCCTTGTTTGCATTCACTTCAACTTACACAAAATTACCTACAATAAGAACTTCGTCAAGCCAAAAGATTCAGGACGCAGCAAGTAGGGACATATTGCATTTCCCGCAGTATGCACTCACTAATTAGTTGAGCTTGCACACACAAACAGCTAAGAGAGCACTTCGAGCATCGGCGCGAAAGTGGCGCGATGGCATCTGACGAAGCTTCGACAAGCCAAGGAGCTGATGTGTGGGTAAATGTTTAAACCCGTCTCCGTTTCCCGGATTGTTTCAAAACTCCCCCCCAAACAAGAACAGTAGATTGTACAGATAAGGTAAAGTCATATAATGCACCAGTGTCCCCAAAGTGGACAGATACTGTATAATAGATATAATATCAAATAGATACAATATTCTGATGTTCCGAAGATTTGGAATCCATGTTGCTTCAACAGAGCCACCAGAGCCAGAGCTGGGCCACTTCCTGCAGGGCCGCGGCCTCACGTATCATTCGGAGATTCGCCTCCACTGACCGGCAACAGTTTCTTCGAAGGTTCAACTGGTTGTTTGTTTTTCATGGTCCTCCAAGCTTTCACTGGTGATCCTTGTTCCACCCTATCTCTTCAAAATGCGTCTCGACACGAAAACAAAGGACGGGTGGAACTGTTTTTCGTTACTGCTCCGAAGTCTTGGCGACTTCCAATTCCATCCGAGTCACAACGTCACAACGTTAAACAGTTCTTGGAAGTAACATGGAAGTGGATGGCACAGCCTGTTTGTCGCACTTCGGGGGGCCGTTCTCGCAGACGCACGTCACCTCGTTCTCGAAGCATGCGACCGCTCCGCGCGGCTCGGCGGAGCGAGAATGGGTCGGATGGTTTTGGGTGCAACGCGGTCGGATGGCACCCCAACGTTCGAACAGACGAACGCCTGGTTTGAAGACGTTGGAAGAAGTGAGTTGCAACCTGAGCTTCGGCCCCCCTTTTTGTTCAAGTGATCACTCGTCACTTTTTTGCCGTCCTTTCTTCCCCAGGACCTGGAGGGTCTCCGGGTGATCACGGTGATGGAGATCGATTGCTTGGGCATGCGGCGGGGCTCCCCGGAGGTCATCAGATCATCTGCTGTATAGCTATAGATGAAGCATCCAGGAGCTGGGCTGATCATGTTTCCATCCATTCTTTCTCTATAAGCAAAAAGGGTCACGACGAAGCTGCAGGAGTTGCTACATGTTTTCGGCGGAGACCAGTAGCGTTTTCGACTCGTATTTTCTGCACATGCTGGAGATTCTCTGCTGAGGAAGCGTTAGCAGATTTGCAGAACTTTGTCCAAAGCAAGCAGTTCTGACCTGAGGAGAAACACGACTGACTAGGAATTTCACTCCGCCGTCGGGTTTCCCCTTTCGTATTTTTGAGATGGCCTACTCGTTTGATCTCGTTGGATCCATGGAGAACAGCACCCAGATTGGGCACAATCTGGCACCGGTACCGGCTCATGGCTTCAGCACTTGGTGCAACCAGTTTTGGCGGTCAAAGAAGAAGACATTTGGGTGTGTATTAAAATAGGGACCCTCTGAAGGTTCGGGAAATAGACCAATCTACCCAGCCAGGGCCAGGTGGGTCCCGGATCTCAAATACACACCGTTCTTCGGTCGTGGTCATGTTTCTTCCATTTGCTTCCCACATATTTGGAATTGGGGAGCGTTGAAAACTCGTGAAGCACTGGGAGCGCGATCTTTTTCCACTTCGATCCAGCTTTCTCCATCGTTTGCATTTGGAGCTTTGTAGAATCCGCTCCAACCTTCATATTCGGCCGATTCAGCGACCGCCAGCCGCCGAGGATCCCTTACTTGGGTCAGTGGATCCAGCCTCAGATGGACTTCAGTTGGATCAGCTTGCACTTGGTGGCCAGCAGTCAATGCTTTGCGAGTCAATGCGAATGCCGGCACCAAAGAATGGCTATGTCAATGGAATCCATTCTTGGCCTTGTACATGCTTTCGCATTTGCCATCCTCTTGCAGAAACTGTTTGAGGCACTGTTTTTCTCGACAGAGTCTTGACACAGTAATCCCATGTGGCCCATTGAAGCAATTGCAATAGTGCAAAAGGACAGAGCTGGAGGCTAGAGGTTTCAATCTGGCGAGCTTCCAGGCATTTTAACATCATGAGATGGTTTGGAGTAGTACAATCCGATAATCCTTTGATGCTGCAACACTCGTGTTGACATCCCACAAAAAAAGGCCAAGTGGTATTCCATGGTATTCCCAATCCAACGAAGACGGGACGTTGCAGCAAACTCGAACGAAACGAAGGCCTGCCTCACCCTAGGCCCTAGGCCTGCTGGCCTCAGCCTGCCCTGCCTCGTGTCGAGGTATACCAGGATTGCCTTGCAGACCCTGGGCGTTCAAATTTCCTCCCAAGAGAGGCCAGCGCTGGCCGGAGGGCTTCGTAGCGGGCCCAACGGGTGTGGTGGGAGAAGGCCTCATCGGGAGAAGGAGGGCGTGGTGGTTCCCGCGCGGAAGGCGGAGAAGGCCTTGTACTCCACTGGTGTTGGGGTTTTATATGGTTTTATAAATGCAGTATATACTTTATTACTTTATTGTGCTGGATCTATTGTTTGAAACATACAAAAAATTACGTGTCACTGAATGACACATGTCAGGCAGGGATGGCAGGACAAATACCAGAGCTGGCAGGAAGACTCTTCTTCCAAACCGTTGAAAGGATGCTGAGTCGGGTCTTGAGCCATCATATCATGTCCAGTTCCGGTTCACCTTGCGTCTTCAGGTCGAGGTCCAGGGTCGAGGGTCGAGGTCGAGCCGGGTCGAGGGTTCCTCTTTGACTCGACGCTTTCCAGCCACCCACGACAGGGTGTCTGAGTGGGCACATGAAGGCCGTGACCTGATACGCGAGGCGCGCGCGCCGGGACCACGATCGACGCGACTCGCACGATATCACGATGATCGCGGCGTACCGCGCGCAGGGCAGGGCGTCGATCGTGGTCAACTGGTCAACTGGCGAACGGGTCAGACCCTAAGCCCCAAAGATCGATACAGATTGATAGAGCATCTTAGAGCAATATCGGCCTCTCTTGAAAAGACCAAATGCTTACAGTCGTTGTGCCTACTGGTAGAACATCTTCTTGACATCTCTCATTTGTGCACAGAATTCTTGAAAATTTGGGTCAATCATCAAATAGGAAGGAAAACTCCTACAGCAAAGCAGCATTCAAATCGCCAGCACCATATGGATGTAGATGGTGCAGATCAAACACCAGGTCTGTCCATACGGCGCAGCCATCACATGACGAGGATGGCCATCTCCCCAATGATTGCAGAATTTATTTAGGATTTGACCCATACCAATAATCACTATAGAGTAACTAGGGTAAACATTCCCTCGACTCCTTTCCTGAGGCAACCAACCAACCAGCCTGTCTGTTCGTTGGGAACCCTTCCATTGAGAGAGTTTCTCCCCAGGTCCACACTCACTGTCATTCGTGTGCCTTGGTGCTCAGTCCTGTTTGGAGAGAGCTTTGATTCACTCATGTGGCAAGGACTCAAACCTTAAGCCGCTCAGTCTGAGGTTGTGAGGTCTTAAACATTCACCTAATATTGGAATAACATAAAATAACCATGAACAAATATGCCACAATAGTAGTGATGATTGAATTGTGAAAGCATCCATGGCCTACCGGTGATTTGTCTCCGTACACGGAGCTTTGGAAGCCTTGAAACTCTTCAACTTCATCATGCCGGAGTCCATTTGCATAGTAAGGATATTGCGTTTGTAGAGCAAGACCATTGCTGCCAGGCAGAGAGCCGGGCAGAACCACGGGACGCCACGCGAGCCGCGCAGCGACGCCGCGCAGCGGATGGGCCGGCGAGCAGCGACCGGTCCGTTTCGCGAGCGGAAAAGCGATGAGTCGAGCGATGAGTCGAGCTGGTGCGATTCGGAGGTTCGATGGCACGTCTGGGCCCCCAAGTTTGGTAGTAGGACTCCTCATCTGTTCAACAGGACCCTCTTGGGGTGCCATCGAAGCTCTGAACCCAATGTAGCTGGTGAGATGAGTTGCGGGAGCCATTCGGAGTTGCGGGATAGAGGAAAAGGTGATGTCCAATATGTCTGATTCAGGAGCCCCATTGCACCCCTTGCTAGTGAATTCAGCATGCGAGATTATGGCAAATTGTACCACCCAAACTAGAAAATTCAAAGCGGATGGACCCGGATGAATGCATGGCCAGCACACCTCACTTGTACAAGGTTGATTTGAACATGTTGAAAGGTTGGAATTGGATTAGGTTGGAGGCCATCGCTTCTACTTGTAGGTTGGAGGCCGTCGCTTCAAGGTTGAGATGAAAGGTTGGAATTGGATTAGGTTGGAGGCCATCGCTTCTACTTGTAGGTTGGAGGCCGTCGCTTCAAGGTTGAGATGAAAGGTTGGAATTGGATGCATGGCCAATTACAGAATCTTGGCTCACAGCGGTGCCGTCCAGCACCGCGTGCTGCGCTGTGCCCGGCTGTGCTCCGGTGCGACCCGCATGTTTCTGGGCATGCGGGTTGCAGAGACTATCATGGCTTTGATTTCTGTTGGTTCAGGCTTCTTGCCCCACTAGTATATTAAAAAGACCTAATTTTCTGAACTTAATACAATTTTCTGAAATCAGGCTCAGAACGGCTCAGGTTACTTGAAGCATTTTGAAGCTTCTGTGTTTGAGCGCTTGCTTGAAGCTATGCTTTTGCTGTGTGGCTACCGAAGCAAAAGCTGTCCGTCCCCGACCAACCGACCCTTGTCCCCACGAGAACTGCAGGGATGGCGCTCACCATCAAAACCAACCTGGGCCCGCTGAAGGCGCTCGCGGAGCAGTGAACATGAGTAACGAAAGCGAGAGGACCGATAGGATGGGCATTTTTGTTTCTCAGCATTTCTTGGGGGGCCGGAAACATTCAACTACCCATGTCATTCTTCACTTCTACCATCCCTGCGGCGTTGGGTAGGGCTTGGTACCCGAGCATGGGGCGCCAATTCATAATGTCAAACATTTTGGGTGATGTTCCACATATAGGTCACCTGGTTCCACTTATGACAGACCATGACATCATGAGTGTCAAAGTTACGAGGGTGAAACACCCATGACGTGTCGCGACAGACATCCAGACACGCAATGTCTTCGCAGGTGGAGCTCTTCTGTGCTCAGACGCCCAAGACCTGCAAGAACTTCTTGGCCTTGGCCGCGTCAGGCGGTCGATCCTGCGCTCCCTCGCAGGTTTTGAGAACCCATTCGGTTGCGCGAGGTTTCCACTTTACGGGCCGCATGACTCTCAAAAATCCATAAAGCTCTCAGATCCACTTGGAAAGCATATACATATATGTCTTAATATATCTTAATATGTCTTGATGCTTATGACTTATCGCCTATCACACATCTTTTTCACAAATTCAGCATGACGGTGCTGGAGGTCTCTTGTGTAGTGAAGAACACTGGCTCAACTTAGAATTAGAAGTTGTTCGTGGGTTTGTGTCGGATTGTGTCTGATATTAACCAAATTCCACCATAGACCTGATTGACTGGTCAATGCATTGTGATGCCTCTTGTTACTATATAGATCCAGATTGGTCGCCTTTCATTGAAACGTAGGCCCTGTTGGGGAGGTGCAACCCAAAACGCCATTTGGCGGCACCGTTTCCATCGTTTCAACGACCGACCAAATCACCGCTTCACGCCCCAGCGGAAACGCGGTGTCCTGCCGTGTGATGCCAGGCTATTATGACAACACCAATTTCCACCGGAACATCAAAGGTTTCATGATCCAGGCCGGACACAGTTTCTGGTACCAAGGCGTGATTTTTCGCAGAATCTGAGATTAGAGTTCTGCAGTTGTTTGGTGACACGATGGGCATCCATTTGCATTTGGATGATGGATCATTGTTCATCTCCATGTCTTGCGGTCACAGATCAACGTCCATCAACGTCATCTCGCGTCTCATGGCGTCTCCCGTTCCTTTTGCCCCCCGTGTCCGGCACCGTTCGGCACGACCGGCTCCTTCGCAACGGGTCACCGTTCTGCCTGCGTTCCTTCGCAGGGCGGCGATCCCACGGGCACGGGAAAGGGCGGTCAGAGCATCTATGGTGGCTACTTCGAGGCGAGGAGAGCGCGCGCGCGCTCGCAGCCTCGTGGCGGTGCTTGAGTCGGGAGTTGAGATAGTTGAGCGAGTCGCCTTTTTCAGGATGGGTGATCAAACATGCAGCGATGGATGAAGATGGCGCCGACTGTGGTTCAGTGGCCGTCAATTGCAGTATATAGAATATGTGTGAGCTTATGGATTCTGCTCAGGACGAGTTCGTGTCGACGCTAAAGCACGAAAGAAGAGGTGCGGCGCCCAACAAGTTGCCATGAGAGCGGCCTTGTTTGAATGACTGAGAGCAGCATTGCAGCAGCATTCTGCGGCAGCGGAGGTTGCTTGTCCATGGTGAACACGGGCCCAAACACCAATGGCAGCCAGTTCTTCATTACGTGACCTGTGGACCTGTGGCGGGAAGCAAGTTGCCATGCTGCCCCAAGCCCGAAGGGATGAATATCACCTAGATATACTAGGACCTAAAGTAGATGGACAAAATACTTCAACCCTTAAGAAGCGAGGTCTGCAAGTTCCTACATCAGGCACCTCATGGTTTTGAGGTGTCCAACGAGCGACCTCTCTTGCAACTCCCCGGCCAGTACTGTCTCGAATGCCCACGTTTCTTCTTTGATTTGTATTGCTTTGTCGTATTCCGAAAGTCCTGGCGCATACTGTAATCATTTGTACTCGTAGATTGAACATGCAGCCCGAGAAGATGACCATGGAAATCTCGCCAGGGATCGATCGGCGTGATCGGCCGTGCTTGGCACGTCGAAGGGATGAACGCCACCAGGGGGGGCGCTCCACCAGGGCGGGAGCCGCGGCTCGGGTGGGAAAAAGAGGTACTCCAGGCAGCCGCACTTGAATGGTGTTTACACCACCTTTGGCAGGCCGGATCGTCAGCCAGAAAATGAGACCATTTGTCATCATCTGCTGATTTTATTTTTTTCATCATGAGGCCACTTGAGGCCACCCCAAAAGATGTTCAATCCTGTTCTCGTTGCCAAAAGGGATCAGAAGGGTATGCCGGGAACCTGCTTCCTTTCCTGGAGGTTATCCAAAGCTTTTTGGAGGGATATATATATATATATACTGGTTTTGGGTGTAAAACATTGGTTTACTAATGATGCTTATTTCTAAGGATATTTTGTCATCGTCCATATGGCTGAGGCTCATCGATGGCTTAGACACTCTCGACAAGATGGAAAAGGATTCCTTCAGGGTTCGTGCCAGTGGTGCATATTTTCAGAAGACCTCAACGATCTCATTTTCTTCACTGTGGACAATGATGTCAGTGAGAAGTACAACGGGTTCTTCTTTTTCGTCCTCATGAGATTCGGTTTCATTCTCCAATTCACATCGCCTGTCCATGTAAACCACTCCTTGTTCGGAGCGGCATGGCATGACTCTCATGACGGCATGCCGGTTTGGTGTTCTTTGATTTGTTTCATGAGTCAGGAGTGACAAGCTCCATTCACCTTGATCTCGGGAGAAGCGTTTCGAGGGCAAGGGGTTACCCTGCTACTCTGCCAGTGAATGTCCCAAGGACAAAGCCGTGATTTCCTTCACTGGACTCCTCGAAAAATCATAAAAATCCATGCTGATCAAAGGCAGCCGCCTCTTCCAGACGTTTCTCCCCACACAACTGTGTGTTTTGAAGTTTTCCTCAGCTGTGCAGTGCATCGAGTCCGCTCGGTGCCGGAGTAGCCACCATAGAGTCCGGTCGCAGAAGAAAGGGGTACCCCATGATGGTATTTAGGAAACCACAGGAAACCCTTCTCAACCGTTTTTCTTTAAGACCTTCTCTTTTCCAGAAGAAACATGGGGATAATGAGACGGTCCACATATATATATATATATAGATCAAATAGATTCAAATAGCTGCTGCTCCTTGCCGCAAGGAGCCCATCAACGCCAAGAACCGGCCGATGAGACCCATCAAGATCGAGGCACTCTGAGAAGCGTGCGCCGTTCGCCGAAGAACGAAGCCGCCCAGTTTGAACGTCGTGTGTGGATGGCCACCCAAGAGCGTAGCTAGTGACTTGCTTCTTCTTTTTCGGAGGGCGGATTTCCACGGAAAAAAGTTCACGCTTGGGGTTTGCAACATGGCTTGGTTTCTTGAATGGTTTCATGAAGAAAAGTTCCCCTTCTGATGATCTTGCCACGTCCCGTGATCGTCCGCCAGAGCATCATCATCCATGCCAATCCCATCGCAGATGAGGAAGCCCAGCAGTGACCTGACCGCGCGAGGAAACTGACCTCGCGCTTCAGCGCCTTCGTCGGCTCAACCCTTCGCCCAGTCGCCACCCACCTGTTCACCGGGTGGGGACAGCGGTGTCGGAGATGTGTGCGTTCACAGGCATAGCTTCAAAAGAAGGAACCGGATCGGACTCACATAGGTCTATTCTACAGAATACCTGTAGGTCAACACAGTGGTCAACACCATGCGTAGTCCTGTCAGGATGCTGACCAAGCGCGGAGGTTCTGGTTTGCGAGGAAGGATGATGCTCCAACAAATGGGTTGCAGTCTATTTATATTAGTCTGTCCTTCCTCTTCTATTTATTCGTAAGAATCATCCTCTTTAGATACACAACCAAGCATTAAACAGAAGCGCCAGGGTAAAGATTGTCTCCTGGAAAGGAATCTTGGCCATCAACTGGAACGCTAGAGCGCAGGGGCAACATGTTGTGAGGAGCCCGAGACAGTTTTGCTGTCCCCTCCGCACCCATGTAGAAGATGCGCTCAGAAACAGCCCATGTGGGAGAGCGCGCGGCCAACAAGCGCCAGAACCAAAAAGTGTGCACTTTGAGCCCTGTGAAGGATCTTGGAGGACAGAACCCCGACATTAAGATACCTCCTCAAGAGTGTGCAATCCGGCACAGCTTGTTCCAGTATGAACACCCTGGACATACCATCACATAAACATATATTTGGACAATTAGATAAAACAACATAAAGAAAGCACATATGTTAAACATATGTATATTATACACGTTACATAACTACTGCTTACAGGCATTCCATTCATTTCATGTCAAGAGTGATGCACAGCACAAATATCTACGCGACAGACTCGAGTCGAGTGGCTCAGGCCAGGCCATCAATATTTGTCTTTCTCCCACAGTGAAGGTCACATTGCTGCCCAAACACAACTCAGCGCTCTGCTCCAGCTCCCTGATAGATCACGATTCCTTTGCATGGGTTTTGAAATGGTTTGGGTAAAGCAACTTCATTCTTCCTCCGATTTTTCGTTTTCGGGCAAAGCAAAATCACTCTTCCTCCGATTTTTTCTTTCAGCTACCACGCTGCCTAGACGCGCCATGTACCGACTGCAGAGGTCTTCCATGCAGGTGGGGGAATCGCTGAACCTCCTCCGCCGGTTTGGACGGGACATACTGACATGCTGCATGCATGCTTTGCTTAAGTTGGGCGCCAAGTGAGTTGTTCTTTTTGAACGCTTAGTGATTTCCTTGGATTGAAATATAAGCTCACAACGATAGTTGGACCTTGTTGAACACCAGACTGAGAGCCTGTGTGCGGCTGCCGGAATCTGCTACCTCCCACTGCTATGGGAACTGCAGGGTGGATGCACTCCTGAAACCGCTTTCTTGCGCTGGCTTTGCACAGTTGCCGCCGTTGACGTGCTCGATCCTGCTGCGGTGAAGGTGAAGGCCCGTTTCACAGATCAAGTGGCCGTGGTGGACGGGCACGTGCTGGTGGACGAGCTATCTGGCAGGCTTTGACTGGTGAGTCGACTGGCCTCCCGGATGTTGGTGCCGTTCTGTCGTTGGATCTGTGATGGCGGTCCTTTGTCTTCTGTTAGTGTGGCGGTTCTCGTCTCGCTCATCCCACCATGCGTCTTGCTTCCTGCCTTTGATCTGCGTCTTTTGATCAGGGGCAGTTGTTATGGACCCGTAGTCGCTATTTTTCCTTTGTTTTCCACCTCCACATGACAGCTCGGGTCTTTGGCTGTATGGCGTGTACGGCTGGTGATAAGGAAATAGAGTCTAGATTCTACACTTGATCCCAAGGGTTTGAATGAGAAATCTGAGGCCAGGTAGACTAAGGTTTCTGAATCTAGGCTTTCTATGGGCGTGCTGCGTGTGGAGTCCGGAGGGCGAAGGCGATCGGAACAGAGGGGGCGAAGGCGATCAAGGAGCGAACGAAGCAGAGTATGGGCTCCACAGAGTATGGTGTCCCGGTGTCCTTGTGTTCTGTCCTGTGCTGAAAGCCGCTTCTCTTTTCCCCTTGTGGACCCCGCACTTTTTGCATTTCTGCGGCATGAAAGGGTTTATGAAGGGTTTGATGGCCCAACTATAGCTCCGAGTAGGGATTATAGGGATTTGGGTAGGCGGAGAGGATAGTCTCTCTTTCAAACCGTGTTTTGTTGCGTTTTCTTGCGCCGGCCCCATTCCAAAGCGAAAAGCCATCACCACAGCTTCAGTTCGTAGCAGATGTGGGGCATGGCCGTAAGTTTCGTCTAACCTTTTGTTCCAAACAATTTCATCACGCAGTCCCAGATACCGTGCAGCGAACGCTCACCCTGTCTGAATGAGTCATCATCACGTTCCTTTTCTTCTTCTCTGGTCGTTTCGCCTGCCGAACTGGTCGTCACCACACCATCGCTCTCTGCGTCAACGACCTTGTTCCCTCGACTCCCTCGGCTCATCGTGGTGTTTTTGGTTCCCTTCGACCAGTCGGACGGACGGTGGATTCCACGTGGTTCCCTCAACCCACCGACGAGAGGCACCGCGGTCGGATCCACCGAGGAACACCACCGGCCGGAACCCTCCGAAACCACCGCGCGGATCCCTCCGACGGGTGGCGTCGCCGTTTCCCTCCGAGCACGACGGTGCCGCCGCGCCGCCGGCGGACTAGAGGCGAGCCGCCGGGCCGCCAGCAGTTTGGCGTCCTTGGTCTGGAGCCAGGTGCGATGTCTGATTTTGGGGTTTGGAGAGGAACATTCGACTGGAAACGGCCAGGCGGAGAGGAGGAGCATATTGCACCTGCAGAATGTAGAAGATGTCAGGTTTCTGAGCTGATGAACTCATGATATACCCACATAGATGTATATAGATGTGAGTTGATGTGTTGAGCTTTAGACTTTTCAATCGCTCTTGGGGGCCGCCCAAGAGGGCCCCACAGGCCGCCCAAGAGGGCTCCAAGCTGGCCGTGGCCGCACCACAGCAAGGCCTGGATGAACGGTCCATGGAAAGGACAACGGTCCAAGGTGATGGAGTGTGGGCACAACTTTGTGGCACCATTTTGGTGGCAGAGCGCCGTTTTTGACCAGGCTTGAACTGTCGGATTTGGTTTCTGCTTGGACACATGCAATGGAGGTGGTCATCCCCCCTCCACCAGCGATCGGAGGGATGACCGCTCCCGACGTTTCTCATGTCCCACACCACGCGTCGATGGTCACAGCGTCGATGGTCACAGTCCTTCTGCCTGTTTTGGTGGGTGACTCAAATTTGTTCGAAGGAAGAGCTTGAAGGCTTGGGGTTGTTTGTCCCCAAACAAGTGTGGGATGCATTCTCCAGGTTTCAATGTTGGAGTGGAATGCCGGTTGGACGGGTCGCTTTGAGCTTGGCACAAAAATCACAAAGCGTTTACGGAGGATTCCAACCATTGATTTATGGCCTGAATTTTTCTGAACCACCATTACTATACCATTACTGTAGTTTGACTAAGGGCATTTAGACGACAAAACCAGATCAACCCTTATTTAAATGGTGTTTGAAGGCGAACGGGATAGCTGCCAGTGCTTATTGTGTGCATGCGCGATCAGCCGACCCTTCGCTCGCGCGTTAGACCCCAGGTGTCTCGTGGAGCTTTACAGAGTTAGAGCAGCGTGCCCGGGGAGCCCATCGAATGCTCGAGCCGTGCCCGATCGACGAATCGAGCGTGGGACCGGGGATGGGGCGTGGGACCGTTCCAGCTCCTGGAGGTTTTGGGAAACGTGGTATTTTTAGCCGCTGATCGCACTGATGAAGTGATCTTTTAGCTCAAAAGATCCGATTTCCAGGGAGACAGTCTCAGCGAATTTCATGGGAAAGAAGATGAACAGAAGATAACAGAAGTAGCAGTGTGGAGTTAGATGATGTTAGATGCATGTTCTTTTTCCCCAACAATTGGATGCAAATCCCTCACTTCTTCTGGCGTTTTCCTCCAGCTCTTCAGTGTTTACAAAGTGTCAGTCGGACGGACCGAGAGAAGGGATGGACCTTCCAGCACAACTCGACAGTGTGGGGCTGTCGTGGCTTGGAAGTCCCTTCTCTCGCGGTTCTTTGTTTGAGGAGGAAACATGTTCCGTGAAGGTCTTGGTTTGCGGGATCAAGACCCGTGGTCTATTCTTCCTTTACAAGAGGGCTTCAAGCAAACGGACGCTGCGGCTACCGCCATATTCTGAACTCCGCATGTCTTGAAGATTCGGGGCGCCCCGGCGCCTGTTTTCTGACCGGGAGTGCGAGGCTGGGCGCATTGCCGGTGGTCTGGCGAAGCATGGTGTGACCCGCTGGAGCCCCAAAAAGCGATATGCGTCAGGAAGACCGGTCTGGCGAGGGCGAGGATTCGAAGATGGGTCTGGCATTCCATTGGTGCTGGGTTTTCTTGATACAAACGTTTGTACTTGGTATCGTTGTGGTTGTTGGTTGTTCGTTGATGTTTTTGTTGTTTATTCTTATTTGTTGATTGTTGCTGCTTGATTGTTGTTGGATGTTGTTGTTGTTGTTGGTTGTTGTTGTTGGTGGTGGTGGTCGTAGTAGTAGTAGTAGTAGTAGTAGTAGTAGTAGTAGTTGTTGTTTAATGCTGGCCATTCAAGGCCAGTCCAGACTACAAGAAGTTCCAACATAATGAGGTAGGCGGTAGGTCATAAACCCATGCTACTGTCAACTGATGGAGAGATGGAACACCTGCAGAAGGCCCGCCTAAAACCAAAACCGCAGGTCCATTTGCATATCCTCAGCTAGGAATATCACCAGCGCACGGTTTCTTATCCCAACCACACCTGCCGGTGACAGGACCCTCAAGAAGGTGGCCATCGATCCTCGAAAGAGGAAGTCTTGTGGAACATTGCTTTGTTTAGGGTCTATGACCTGTAACAGTCAGTAAACAATTATATATCATCGTGTTTGAACAAGGCCTCTACTAACCATCCTCATCCACAGGTATTAGACCCAAGCAGACTGTCCATTTGGACCAAAGACCTGAAGCAAGACATTCACATCGCCAAGTAGCCCTTTGATCAAGATAAGCATGTCTGTCACTGGGTCCATTCGCCTTCAAGGCGCCCACCTCGCCCACCGCGACCTGTGACGGTGACGACCGCCGCGCGCTGGTGCGCGAGTCAACGACCTGAGGAGGTAGTACCGTGGTCACCGATTTGCCCAACTCGGCAGACAATCTTCTGCTACAGGCGCGGCAAGCCACATGAACCGGATCGATATATTATATATATAGAAAAGACTATAAAATGACTTATAACTTATAAAATAGAGGCACTATATATATATATATTATATCTATTTTCCTAACCTGTTGCAACCCAAAGGAACGGATCAATGCCATGAGGGCATGCTTTTCTATCACAGCAGAAAGGGCCGGGGTGAAGAATGACGATGTTCGGGCGTGGGACCCTGTAGAGTTCGTTCCTGTTCTCTTCTTGAAGGGGTCGACGGCTTACCATGAAGGCCCCATGCCATGGGTCTTTAGGATGTTTCATGCCTTCTTGTTTCATGAAGACGGGCTTCCATGAAGGAGGATTCACTGAATTGATGGGCTTGGTTTCCACCAAAGTAGTCAAAAGGTGGTGTGACGAAGACGGTCAAGAAAAGACGGTGTGGCATTTGAAATTTGTCAACACATTGTGCAGACAAGACAGATGAATTCTTGGTGCCGGTATGTTGAGCGTAGTGTCAAGATGTGTCAAGTATCTAGTTCGGAAGTCGCGTAGAACCTTTTCGGAAGACTTAAGAGATGGAGTCCAGCCAACCGCTGAGGGTTTTTTTAGTGATTTCGGAGTAGGAGTTGGAGCAAACGAAAAGCAATCTCAGAGTGCAGGATAGGGGACAAGTCAAAAAAACAGTGAGCGGAAAGGTGAGCAGAAAGCGATCCAAGAGGTGATGTGATTGAAATATTTGGATACCAAAAGCAAGAAGAATGCAAAAAAAAAGGTGACCAAAATGTGATCAAAAAGCAATCCAGAATCGAAACCCAATATATAAACGTCACGTGTCGTTTCGGGAGGCGTTTCACAATATGTCAGTCAGTCAGTATGCTCACTATTTTCTCACTATTTTCTTGCTATTTGCTCACTATTGTCCTGTCCATGTTTTGCTTTCCTATGTCTCCGCAATCACTTTTTGATTGTTTTTTTTCCGCATGTTGCACGAACACCCCAACCTATGTTCACTATTTGCTTGCTGACTTCCTTACTCAGGACCTCACAAAAAAAGTAAATCTACATTTCCAGTGGTTGCCTGTCGTCGCAAGTCTTAACGGAAGACAAATCCGTGGGTCAAGCTGCTTGAAATCAACATAGACTATATAAATCAAGGCATATGAACTGAGTCTTCGCGCACACCATTCCACACGGGCTTTGATTGGCCTCTTCAATGGTTCGGAAGAAAACGGTTTTCCCTTGGGACCCCCCCCCCAAGAAAAGGACTGCGGATAGCGGGCTTTGGAAATTCGGACGAAAGCGGACCATCTTCAGTCAAGATGTGAAGATGTGAACGTTCGAACTGCTGTGCTGACCTTCAGTTTGGATGTTTCCAGGTGTCCTGCTCGTGGCTTGGCGCTGCTACTGCCACTGCCAAGGAGCGGACAAAAGAGGGACAAAAGTAGGCGAGGTTGCTGATCATGTGTTCAAGTGTTCCAAGTAGGCAGAACATTTGCTGATCAGTGTTCCTATATAGATGTTCCTGCAAATCTGGTGGCTTGAACATCCTTTGGCTCATTTTTCTTGCATTCGCTGAGGCGAGGATTGCGTTCATGCTTGGTTGAGGTGCTCGCTTGACACAGAAGAACCTTGCAGCTTGGGGGATTTCATGATATTTCATGGGGGACGACCACTGTCAATGTTCAGTCCCACTCATCAAGTGTTGAAACTACAAGCAGGCAGAACCATTCCAAACCAAAACGCACAGCCAAAGACGTTTACGTTGAATTGAGCTACTTGCAGTATCCAGCGCCATGGTTGAGCTGGTTCATCCCCATGGCTTCATTGTTTGTGCTCCGTTGCTGCAGTTTCTACTCGGCAACAAGCTTTCTTATCAGCCAGAGCTGCTTGCAGTCGCGTAGAGCATTTTCTTGACTTGGACATACTTGGACGATGGTCAACCAGTTGGAGTTGGTCGACCGTTTTTCTTTGGGGGGAGCTGAGTGATTTGCTGCCAAAGATGCTGGTCAAGCTACCGGTCAAGCAGCTGGCATTACCTGTTTGTGCAAATGATGGTCCAAGGAACCTCCGCAAGAGTTTACTTCACGTTTGCGTCCATGTGAGAAGAGTCGCCTTGCGAATGTGGGATGTGGCACACCGGAATCCTTTCTGGGATCTCTTTTTTGCTGGCAAGAACTCACCCTAAAGGGAAGAGTTGGCTGATTCAACGCTGTTTGACACTTGGGAGCAAACGTAACATAGTGCATCTGGGTTTTTTAGGCTGCCTCGTTGCCAAAAAGCCTTCAACTTCAAACGGAAGGTGTGCTCATGAGGCACTTGCACTGGGATCCGGAAATCTTGTGACGAGGTGCATTCCTCCCACCAAATGCCGAAAAAGGCAGTGCGTAAAAGAGAAAACGCCAAAACACGCCACAAGGTTTTCTTTGAAGAAACATAATTTTAAAGGAACATTTGTTAAAGTGACAACACTTGACACTTGACCAGAGCCTGTGGTCACTTACCGTCCTTTGGTTATGACTTTTGGGCCCAGTCAAAACCGGATGTCACTCAGTGGGTTGCACCATTGTCCTCAAGTGCCTCAATGAAACAACTTGAAAACGCGCACAAACACTCAGTAGGTTGCACCATTGCCCTCAAGTGCCTCAATCAAACGACTTGAACACGCGCCCAAACCGGAAAAGATCATCAACAAAACCACGATCTTTGACGGGTCTGTCCTCCAAACTCTGAAAGAATTCGGCCTGTCGTCGCATTCTCCCCAGCGACCGCTTCGGTCTGCACGGCGTCAGCCTTTGAAGAGTCCCCCATTCGTGGCCACGACGAGGTCCGGTTCGGGCTACGACGACCGCGCAGCCCTGGTGCTGGCGAAAGTAAGCCTGGGTTACCGTGGGTGAAGGGGAACCTGAAGGTGAACACTTGAGCCTTTAAGAGTGTGGCTCTTCAATACGCCATTGATCTCTCCAGTTTGGGCCAATGCCTTTGATTCCAGATCAGTCCAACATGCCCAGTGCCTTGTCTCAAACCGTTTGGGCGGTCGTTTGCGGTGTGTGTCCACCTGCAGTCTGAACGAATCAGCCAGGTCCGTCATGTGAGACTGCTGCTGCTTCTGTCTTACTGTCGAGCTGTCCGCTGCGAAGGTCCGGTTCACAAGCCCAAGACGCAAGGTCCGACGGTCCGACTCACAAGCCCATTTGCTGAGCAAAATGGGATGTGTGGGGGGCAAGTGACCGAGCAATTAAACGCCCTGTGCTAGCACAGAGCTCTGTATAAATGCTCGTAGGGAGTGAGAATTAGCACAGGGATTGGAAGACGAAGCCGGAAAATGCAACACGATGCCTCCTCTTGGGACTCTTTAGTTCTTTCGTTTTGATGATCTTGTCTTCAGAATTTTGAGAACCTAGAATGGAGTGACATGGAACGAAGCCTCAACGAAAGCCCAAACAAAACCAAAACGCATCAAAAAGGTGCCACGGTAGACACTGGCCCAAATGATTGGACTCGATGGTGCCAGGCCCTCTTGAATGATGATGGGGCGCTATTCTTAACATTGAACGTTAATTAAAATGATAAGCCAATAGGCTAACTCAGCTTGTCAGAGGACGTAGTACCCTGACTTATCCTGATTTCCATTCCTTGGAAACAGCTGGAAATGAACAAATGAAGCCTAAATAGATAAAACATGATAAAACAATATAACACAATCATTCTAATGGTTGCTCAAGCGCTTTGTACCACCCCTCAACACCAATGCAACCCTTAGTCCTCCCCAGTTTAGTGTATATTTGCTGTCTACTAGCTTAGTACTGCTACCATTATGGCACCACTGTTAACGCTAGGCCACACTACGCAAGCCTCAGCTTAGCTTATTAAGTCAAAAGAAACTATTTGTAGTAACTTGACTCCAGGCCTTAGTTGTAAGCCCCAAAATATGTCGAAAGCAGATTTGACTCCTGACCGGAAAGAAAGCCTTCATGCTGGCAGCAGAACCCCTGGTGCTTTCATGTGAGAGCAGAACGACTTCCTGGTGCTTCCATGTGGCTCGTTGCCGGCTCAAAGCCGGTCTACCGAGCCTCTGAAACAGAAACGGGAGTGGCTTTGTGTCACTGCAAGCCTTCAAACTGTTTTGACTTCAAACTCTGGAAGCTAAAACGTCACAGTGCTAGGGTCTTCTCGTGCATACAGGCAAGAAAGGCACGATAGAAAAGCATCTAGCTGCTTGCTCGTTTTGAAGCAGCTATCCTTCAAAGGTGCTCATTCAAAGTTAAGCAGTTTGCATTGCCACTTGTGTGACCATAAATGTTGTGTGAGGAGCACGCGGCAAGTTTGCACAAGCCGGTTCCACTTGCATCATTCAATTGATGGACTTGTTCTGGAATTTGTCAACCACGCACAAACTTTGGCTTAACTTTTCTCTTTTCTCAAAGGCTAACAGCTATTGATGATTGGAGCACGCGAGTAAATTGTTCGATAAATCTTATATAACATGTGTTTAATAACAGACTTTGCTGACAATGATCTCACAAGACAGCCATCACACAGAGTTGGCTTATCCATGTGCTTTTGTCATTCGTCTGCTGCACATGCAACAGTCAAGCGACTATGGCCGGTAGGTCAATCAAGGTCAAGTGGCTTTGACCCACAGCCAAGTGTGAAATCATCTCACCCTAGCTCCAACCACCTCCGTTTCGAAGGTGGTTGGGGTGGGTTCAAGGGGCTCTAACCACCTGAGGACGTGGTTGGAGCCCTAGGGTCATTTAGATTGGCTTTACTAGAACAGGCTTGAGTTCTTCCAACTTTCCCAGGCCGTGTGTGTGGAACCTGAAGGTCAGCGTCTGAAGAGTTGAATTGTGCTGGGGATCCAACAAACGGTTGGCATACACGACGGGTGGGTTTCAGAGCATTCTCATTCCAGTGCTGCCAATGAAACAGTCGTTTTACAGGTTTGCTCCAAGCTGTTGAAGATAGATGACCACTACAAAGGTGTATGTTTGTTTCATTGTTCTTTTTTCATTGGGCTTGTGTGATTTTAAAGACCCCGAGGGTTGGCGGCCAGCCGGCTTTTCATTTGCTGCAATTGTCAGAGCATTTGTACTGCCCATGCTTCTTTGCTGCAGATTTCAAGAGCAAAGCCAAAGCATAGTCTTTGGAGCAATCGGTGTTGCTTTTGTTCAGAAGGCAGCCAGGAGTGGATTATGGATGCCACAGGAAGGTGTCTGATGCCCTGTTACCAGCCCGCATACAAACGTTCGAACTTGCACCAATTTCCAAGATTCTCACAGTGTGTTTTTGCTAGCGCTCTTCTTCCAGAGATTCTAGCATTTGTCCTTCCGGAAGCAGTCTTAGCATAGCAGATGAAGCGATCATTGACGATCTCCATGAGGAGAAACAACTCTTTCACCAATGCAACTCCATTCTGCCGGATTTCATGGGCCTTTTTCTTCCTTCTGTGTGGACAGGTCGGGTGAAGCCTCCTTTAGAGCCGATGTCGCTGGCGTTTCCGGCTGACTGCCAGACTAGGGATCTGACTGGGGGGGCAGGTTAGGTCATGATTTCGTGTTGTAGAGACAGCAGAATTCCAGCTTGGGCTTTTTGGAACTTGAAAGTGAATACATGTCACGCTTCTTCGTGGGATCAGTAGCTGCTCAGTAGCTTCAATGGTCGACAGGTACGTCCAAGCCCAGCCGGTTTGGACCACTTTCCGTTGATTTGTGCAACAGCCCAAGCCTGGGCTTAAATCATTTTGGACACCGAATTTCTACTGCAAGCGGTGTGCGTAAATGTCCTGTCGGATCATGGGGAAGTCGTGATTGCGACTTGCCCATCCTTTGATCAAAGGATGATGACTTTGTGAGGTGTTGAGCTCGACAGCGTATGGTGGACCGGTACCGGTGGGGACCGGTCTCACTGAATGAATCATGAAGCCAAGGCATGAATCTGGGGATGGGTCATGACCCACCTCGAGCCCTGGTGACCCACCTGGAGCCCTGGTCCACCGTATAGCGAATGTCCCACGAAGTCTAGTCTGTTCAGAACCTGGGGGGTCAAGCAAGGTCTCCCGCTACCAGGACCCACAGCCATTCTCAGTGCGAGAGTCTTGTGCCACGCCACGTGGTTGTCCAGGTCCGGTGGTTCAGGTGCTTCCTTCGGTTTTTTCTTCGGCCCGCCCTGTTTGCGGAGGCCGAGGCGTCGGTCACAAGAGGGTCTGACTCAGAAGGAATGGAGTGACTTTGCTCTTCTTCCTGGACTTTGTCGCTTATTGGACCTTGTCGCCGGCTAACATGCTGCTCTTCTTGGCCGGAGCAAGGGGGAGAGATCCACCCACTGACCAACGGAACGGCACTTGTCGAGGAACGGCTGCAGTTGGCTGCAGAAGGACAGATTTAGGCCTTTCAATAGCATGTTGTTGATAGGCAGGCCA